AGGTGTAACAACTGCACTACAAGTATGTAAATCTCTTTTTTTCAAACAGTTGATAGTATCCTATATCTCTGAGATACAGAGTCATTGAGGTTGTTTACTGGTTTTGTAAAATAACTAAGTATGAAGTACTTACTATGTATCTTTGTTTTTAAATTCCATCTCTTCTTTTCAAATGCATTTCTGAAACAACAATTCTCTAAAAGAGGTTTAATCCTTAAAACCATTAGGAGTACATGAGAAAGAACTGGAGAACTTGGGAATACAATTAATCAATATTCCTAGGTACTGAATGTAAATGGGAAATTTATACTACAAATCTGGATGAACAACGGTAAAAAGCAGAACAAAAAGAGGGAAAATACCCTTGATAAAAAGACTACAGTCAGGGAGAAATTACTGATTCGGGGCCACAGAACCCTTACACACTGCTGATGATCTTCTATTTAACAAAAGGACTGTAAACATTGCAGAGAGTCAACAACCAACCCTATCATAAGACTAAGTGGTGTGATTCTCTAAACCAGAGGTCTATACATTTTTTTTCTGTACATGGCCCGATACCAAATATTTGAAGCTTTGCAGGCCAGATGGTTTTCATTTCAACTATTTAACTGACTTCACAGCACAAAAACAGCCAAAGAGAATGCTATATATAAATAGATATGGCTGTGTTACAATAAGCTCTATTTACAAAAACAGGCAGGTGGACAGGATTTGGCCTATGGGCTGTAGTTTGCTGACTCCATGCTCTGACCTCCCAGCATCTTGTCTATTTGATGGTCCTACCTGAGGACTGGCCCCAGGTCAAACTCAGACTCCATATTTCTTTGCTGTCCACTTATCATCCTCAACTTTCCAGTCTCCTCCTTTTCTGTTCTCCCATGACCACCACCATGTGTCTGGAATTCTTGGGCTGTTCTTTCTCAGAAACCCTGACTGGCTCTATAGGAAGAAAGTAGCCCCTAATAAGACATGATCATAAAATGATTGTTAGGGGCTTATTAGATTTAAGAGAGAACATACTTAGGGTAATTGTTTAACCCACATAACATTATTGATAATAGCAGGATTCACCATACAGGAGATACTTGGAGTATCAGACATAACACATGAGAAATAAGCCTATGGCTACCACCTGACTCACATAATGGTCACTTTTTCTTAAGATACTTTTATACAAAAACAATGAGGGCTCAACTATGAAGCAAGTTATACAAGTAGGTGTGTAGCTTTCCTGCAAATCCTGGGTGACAATATTACTAGGAAGAGATGTCATTTGAATAAAAAGGAAAATCACAGAATTTCTTATAACTCATCTTTCACAGTTAAGAGCAGAGTAACTTTTTTCTAAAAATTCGAATTTAATTAGACATTAAGAACCACTATTTCCTATGTAAAAGTTATAGAACTAATATAATGCCGCAAGGAAGACGCAAAAGGTGAAGAAAGGAATGTTAGTTGATGGCTTCAAGTGATGACATACTGGTAACGACTATAGATAGCTCTATTGGTCAGGGGTCCACAGGAAACTAATCGCATGCTCAAACTGGCTAACTGTAGGAGAGTTTAACAAAGGAACTATGTACAAAGGGCATAATTAGGGAAATCAACAGTAATCACATAATGTATATAACCTGGAAGGTAGCAAGATGAAATAATAATATAATTTATATATATATATATATATGTCATCCTACCCTCTGATCTCTTGCCAATATCCTGTGAACATTGGCCAGACCCAATCTGAAGCTGGAAGTCAAGAGAGCCCATTGATGTGGTCCTTGTGGGTCAGCTTCCCAGGGGTACAAAGAAGGATAGGGAAAGGGGGAGAGACTACCTGGAGGGGAAAATAGGAGATATCCGGCATAATAAATATCCTTGAGAAAGGTATCCAAAATTAGAACTGCCCTTCAGTTCTGTCCTTTTCCACACTCTTTTGAAATAATATAAGAAAGCTCAGCTTCTTCCTTCTTTTCCCTGTTAATTTCTTATTAGATTGTAGAAAAACAGTTAAGTGAGCAAAAATGTTTACCTCCATCTAGCTGAAGGTAAAACTGTTTCTTTACAGAGAAATGAGAGCAAATACTAGGTTTTCATGCACACTTTTGGCCTCCACAACTCAAAAATATCTGGCAACATTTCTCAGCCATAGTCTGACTATGCAGGTATCACTAGCTTGAGAATAAAATAAAATAAAAGGGATGATTCTTGCATTTGTTGTGGAAAGTCCCTTACTCCACTTACTGGTTTACAAATGAACCCCCCCTGCCAAAGGCTCTTAGAGGAAGTATGGAGTTTGGTGAAACCAATCAATGATTCAGACCAACAGCATGGCTGCTTGATTACAAATGTATAATGAAAATTAATGGGCAAAAGGGACATGTGCTACAGTCAGCACAAACTATACATGGACCATTTAACTACTTACATCATAAAAACTTAATAAAGTGTTAATAAATAAACTCGACCTCTTATAGCATAAACACTATACCTGACTATGAACAATGAGGATAGAATATCTAGAAAGAGTACTCACCTCTGCAAAGTCTGGCCCTTCGTTTCTGCATTTGCATATGAAAATCAGAGGTGAAATGATTATTACGACCAGAGTCCTGGGGAACCTACAGCAATCACTTCACTTCCAGACCCAAAAGAACACCCATTGGCTAGGGAAGGTCCATTGTCACACTTCCTAAAATATTAGCAAGTGAAGGTTGGTCATCTACTTTTCTTAGTCCACAGAGGGAGATTGCTCCCATTTTTCACTGGTAACCTATCTGACATCCATTTTTTTAAGTCCAACAACTCTATGATTTACCAGGTAAAAAAACAGTAACATCCTTTTTTCCTGACAACTTAGATCTACTTTTTCAAAACCAAATTGAGTTTTGCATGAGGACTGGCCAACTTTAAATATTCATGACAGTTAAAAGAAGAGGAAGAAAGAAGTAAATTTAAAATGAGGGAGGGAAAGAATAAAGCAGTGAAAAAGGGAACTATTATTAAAACAAGAAAAATAAAAATGTTAAGGAACTAAATGAATGACAGATCTTTCTATTGAAGGAAGGAAAAAAGAGAACGGTGTTATGGATCATTTTTTGGTCCATCTCATGGGTAAAAATATTGCCTAAGCTCTCTGAGTAATCACAGTGCACCAAATAATCTCACTTCCGTTTCCTTCCATAAGGAAGACACCATTCTTGACCTAACCTAGGATTTCACAAACTCCACACATACAGATACTGTTCACATCTTTAGCATTTGAACAAATAGAAAGAAAAATAGGAAGCTCTTCAGCCCACCAGGAATCTTCAGCGATGTCCTTTCAACATGAATGGTTGTTCTAGGCAAGGCATAAGTGGATTCCAGCAATATGGCAGCAAAAAAAAACTAGAAAAAGAGATCTTTATAGAGAAATTATTTCACTAGGAAATAATTTGTTTCCTGACAATGATCTTCAAAGAAGGTTAATATACTTCAGCCTATTGAGGATTTATTGAGTATCTATTATATACAAACCCTAAGACTGACCCCTAGGTTGGCCATGATAATGACCATAAATAAAACTGGCTTCCCCTAGTGTACTTTCAGAGCACATCACACACTGTCTCCTTTGCAAGGTTGTTTGGAATAGCAGAACTCACTTTTGAGCTTGCCTTTATTCTCCAGTTCCTAATAATGTTTTTTTCTGTGGCCTTCCCTGCACCTGATCCTCGCCTCCTTTATTCCTTGGTTCCTTTCTTTTGCCTCACCTTGACTGTTATTTACATTTTGGCACTAACATATTTGCTGCAAGTCACTTCAAATGTTTTTGGAAAAGTAAACTAATATTGAATAAATCACTTATTATAAAAGATTTTCTGCTTCTAAAGAACTCACAGTCTAATAAAAAGGTTGTAAAACATTATTAAACTATTACATAATGAGTGGAAGTCAAAAGAAGGAAGTACAAAATAAATATGGCTTAAAAAAGAAAGTGAGGTCACAGCCAGATAAGAGACCATTTTTGGAAGAGATGTCCAGTGAACTGAGCATTGAATGACAGGAGAATGCCAGCACCTGAGGGCATGAGGTTGGAATGAAGAAAGCTTAGGGCACCTTTAGAGCATATTAATTTCAAGTATGATTTGTAAGAAGCCTACCTGGATGGAGGAGATTCGGCTGGAAAGACAGCTTGGAGCCAAGTTTGGAGGGATGATTATAAATGACAAGGCAATTCGGAGTCTACCAAGAGTTCTTTAGTATAAAATTGATATGATGGAAGTTTTCTAAGATGCCACATATATTTATAGATAAGGAAAATCGGAGGCCCCAGGGACAAGGGTTTAGCAGTTTGTTTAAAGGCAAAGATAAATCTTCCAGGATGCCGGAAGAGAAGGCACCCTGTCTGCCTCAACTCAGCACAGACTAACATAGTTACCTTGAAAACTTCGTTTTTAAGTGGGAAGAAAAGCAGCTCAGTTATACTCTAGAAGAATGTAAGCTGAACTTCAGCGAGGGCTGCTTTCTTCTGTCCCTGCCCAACCTAGTGAAGAAATCTATGTCTCTAGCTACCGTCTGCCTATCCAATATCCGGCTGCTGACCAGAAACATCTCTGATGTCACAGCAAATGAAGCAAGCTTTGGCATCATCTCATAACATCCTGAAAAGGTGGTAACTGGGGAGAGGGGCGGAGCGATTTCTTTCCCAAAGCATGCTGCCATGACATTAAACCCTACACTCTGAGGGTTCCAGAAAAGCCCATCTTTGAAGTCAGTGATGAATCAGAGGCTTTCCAACGCTCCTGTTAGCACCCCAATTTTTATTCCTAGGCTATAACCAGGGAACAGGTCCCAGCTGTACTGGCACGGTTGTTGAATGCCTTCTATGAAAAAAGTTCACTTCTGGTTCGAGTCCCCACCCCACCCCACCCCCGAGTGTGTGCTTTTCCCGCTTCCCTCGCCACCCCCTGCTGCTGTTCCCAGGCGCCGCGTGGCCTGTGACATTTGCTAGGACTCACGTGGGGCGCCCAACCTCGGCAGCTTTGGCTTCGACGATGATTCCTAGGAACTTCCCAAGGACCAGAGCTCTGTAGCTTTGACACGCAAGAGGTGGGCGTGTGAGGAGGAAGGAGCCCGGGCCGCGCGGGCCCAGCTCGGGCGGAGCGGGGTTCGTCCCGCAGAAGTCCAGTCGGTGTCGGCTCGCCGTCCCTTCCACCTTCTGTGCGCGCTGCTACAGCCCAGAAGGCGGCTAGGCATCCTCTTAGGAGCTCTCCCTGACTCACTTCGCTGCGTTTAAACTCCCTTTTCAGGATCAACAAGGGTTTGCAAGTACAAATCTGACCCTGCCATCGCGTTGCTTTTGTACCTAAACTCACACCCGTGGCAACCGAGGCCGTCTAGGCTGCGCAAAGTGGGGCCCGGCGCCGCGGCTGCGGGGCGCACGAATCGTGCGCGCGCCCGGGAGAGCGGCGCACAGGACAGCACCTTCCCCGGGCGCGCCCGTCGCGCCCCGCGCCGCGCGGTCCCGCCACGCCTCTTGTTACGCCGGCCTGAAGAGTGGAGCTGTGCGGGTGGATAGGCGCTGAACTTGGAGGTTCTAAAAGTTCTTGACACCTATAGAATGGGCTAGAGGAGACCGCAGCCCCTAGAGCGCCTCCAGTCACCCAGGGGTAGGCGCTTCTTTCCTGAAATTGATAAGGGCGCTTTGAAAAGTGTTTTGAGGGCGAGACCCATCAGACCTTTCCCCGTTCATTTCAACTCTTTATCGTCCCTGCCCCTAAAGTTCTGGCCACTATTGCATATTTAATGCTTTCAGGTGGAAGCACGGTACAAGCCTGAGACTGTACCCACCTTCCGAAGCAGTGCATTAAGTAACCACGTGAGTTTTCTTAGTAGCCACGGAACAGGGAAAGCAGCCAAAGGAAATGCTCAGATGGACCCATGCAGGAGCAGTGGTACCTCATCGTGAAAGTGGCTGCTGTGTTGGGGTGTTTTTCCCCAACAAGGGGCTTGGTTTTCCTGTAGGAGAAAGATGTAGATGTCTCTTTCTTGAAACACATTCAGAACATGTCAAGGGTTTAGGGCAAAGATGAAAGGAAGAAGATGAGGGAAATTCCTGATGATTTTACCAACATTAAAATTCCATATATTTGGCTAATCCTATTTTTTCCTTTCATGTCATCAATTCAGAATTCTATAAAGGAAGAGAATGACATCAAGGAAAATCATTGGTCTAAGAGAAAAGAGCCCGTAGGCGTTTAGGTATTATATATGTGAAGCCAGAAAGCTCTAGACCATCAGGAAGACTCCAACTTAAGGCAACAGCATGGGTGAATATGGGCTTCTCGTGCACTGGGAATGAGAGGCAAAGAAAGGTTCCTGGGCTCTTGCCCCTAAGGCAGGCCTTGCAGATCTGGAGGCAATTCAGTGTTGGTGGAGTTTAGTGTTAAACCAGTGGAATTGGGTTTCCAAGTGCATTGTCTTATTATTTGCTATTAAATGCCTATTATTCTGCCAGTTTTTTTCAGGAAGATCTTCATCTTGCAATTGGTAGGGCTCGTGCTAACCTACAATTTCACTGACTGTGACTTTGAGAAGATTAAAAAAAGGTATCACTATGTCATTTATCCAGCCCTGAAGGAATATATGAATGGGGTAAGTGAAGAAACATTTTTTTAAAAATAATTGTTTCTGTCACAAGAGTAAGTATGTACACATGCAATTTAACTTACAAGGAAAGAGAAATAACTTGAATACGAAAATCATAGCCTAGCATTTTGTTGAAAATTTTTACAAGTCTTACTGAAAAATATTGGCTTCTGAAAAAGACTATCTAGAAACTGGCACACATTAAGTAGGCAGATGTTAATTAGGAGCAAATACTGCTAGGTAACACATTATGCATGAAGGATGTCTATCCTCTGCTAAAATGTTGTCTATCATACAGTAAAAAAAAGGACAGTGGATAAGGTTTTGAGAAAGAAATAGAAGTAAAAGAGAGGGAATTCTTGTGAACTAAGCCCTAACCTGTGAGGACAGCCATGGAGAAGGTGCACTTCGTCTTTCCAGCGGTCTACACGTCTTAGGATGACATAATGGGATAAGGTGCCCTTCAGATATTTTTAATACAGTAGTAACCACTTTCCTGATTATTTGAATTTCTGAAAAGAACATTCATGTGTGCAATGAGTGAATGGCTACAGGGCAGATGGGGGCATTTCAAAAAAAGCATCATTGCTCACATGTGTAGCCCCTGTGTACAGGCGTGCCACTTTGGGAAAGGGGATTTCTCTCTCTAGGACCAGGATCCTTTGATATCCAGTTTGAAATAATGGCAGGCACTATCTGAAGACTCCAAAGAACAGGTGCATGGGAAACAAGTGCCTAAGTGGAAATGGAAATGGCTTTCAGAGCATTTTTAAAACATGGAAGCAAGTGAGGGATGATTTCTCCTGTGTACTTAAGTCAGTGCCCTTCTTGTCCTATGCTTTTTTTCTTTCTTCCAGACCAAGAGTACAAAGTTCAACTCCATCTCCTGTAAAGACCCGGTGAGTCGGTGATGGGTGCTTCTGGCTTTCTCCAGAGAGACGCCAGGCATTCCGGGGAGGCAGAATCCAGCGGTGTAGAACCCCAGGCGGTGACTGGGCTCCCAGGTGACGCCGGTGGAGTAGGGACAAGTGGGCTGCCGGATGTCCAGCCTGGCTCGCCGCTTCTGTTCCAATTTAGGGCGCGGAAGTCTCTTGCCCGAGAGGGATTCCGGGAGAATCTTCCCCTTTCCGCATCCCCTAGGAGAAAAGAGAAATAGGGAACTGGGACCCGGGAACGCGGTCGGGGGAGCCCCTCCCGAACCGGAGCCCCGGCGCTTGGCGCCGCCTCCCTGCGGTCCGCCGCGCGGCCGCGAGCCTTGGGCGGAGCAAGCGTCGGCCCGCCCTTTCTCCTCCTGCACCCTCGGCTGCGCCCAGGTCGCCCTTCCTTCCTTCCCCTTCGTGGGCTCTTACCCCCTCTTCTCGACCGAAACCTTTCCTCTTACTCCCATCGCTTTTGCTGCGCCTCCCTCTGCTCCCTACCCACGCTGCCCCTTTCACTCATTTCTTAACTTCCTTTTTTTTTCTTTTTTCTCCTGGCGTTTTCTCCTTTTCTCGTGAACTTTGCCGCCTGTGAGCAGCCGGATTGCCTCACTAAAATAGAACAAATTAACTTCAACCCCACGCACGGCTGTCCGTCACTTCCCAAGGAAATTTTCGCAGTAAGAACTAATGCTACGCTCATTCTCCAGTGCCCAGGCTACTACGGAATTCAGGTAAGCCAATGCACTGGACTCTCAGAGCTTTCTAACATTGGAGCTAATATTGAATTAAAGTTGGGCTTCGGTGCATGCGTCGTTGTTATTTTTATTCAGATTCTATCATTCTAAGCAAATGAGCTGGTAAAAACTGTAGATTGTCAGTCCCACACTGACACCTAGTCCCAAATGTATTTATTTTTAGAGTTCCGATTCTTTGGACAGAACTATGGGTCTAAACTGTAAGCCAGTGTTTCAAGAAGTTTGAGGATCATTGTCTAGTCAAATACCTTAATAGCTGTGTGCTACCTTCTTAAAATGTTATATGAAATCTCCATCCCTGTTTGCTTAGTTGTTTGTGAGGATGGTGGTGTTTTTACGTAATGGATTTTTGCATAATGCAGTTACGTGCACTTAAGTGAGTGTATAGCTTTCAATAGAATAGTATAGAGCCAGAAGCAGGAAGTCTGGACACTAATGCCTGACTGAATCCTCACCCATAACTTCTAATGTGAAAACTTGGGTAAATTACTTAGCCTGTGTATGCTCAGTTTCATCTGCAAAAGGATGGATCATATTAGCAAGTCCCTTAGAGTGGTAATGTGGATTAAATGAATCAATATACGTAAAAGCACTTGTAAAAGTGCCTGGCACATAAAAAAAGATTTATTTCAGCAGGCAAGTAAAGCAGGGAATTAATCTTCCTGATGATAAATCTTAAAAAGACAAAGATAGGTGCAGATGTGTATGATTGCTGCCTATTAACCAAGGGACTTTGTCAGTCTGCACTCTTGAGTGTCTGGGTGGCTAAAGCTGTCCTTAGGTTAAAGATAAAAGATGGAAGCCACAGAGTCAGTCTGGATTGAGCTTGAGTTGGGTACTCAATACCAGGCAACCATGTGAAAAACCTGTTTGGCTGTATACCTTCTATTAGGGAGATCCAAGCAAATCTACAGATGGCCACAACAAAATTCATCATTTGAGAAGAACACAGAACACAAGCTAAATCAAATTCTGGACAGAATGTGAGAAAGGGAGAGTCTGGAGGATTTTGTTTCAGCCCCCTCCCAAGCCCAAAAGGAGAGCCCGAAGATTAGTAATATTTGATTATGATTTAGCAGATTTTAGATTGCAAGGTTTTTGCTTAGTGACCTGGTGAACTTTATCGATCTGGGTTCTGCGTGTCTAGGATGCCCAGTCTGTTACTACTCAAGAGTAATTCAGGTGAAGGAATACACAGGAAGATTATTGTGATCTTTTTCTCTCAAGTTTAGACTCCTCTTCACAATAAGCCTTAAGGGTGTGTGGCACACCTAGCTAGTGGGAGAGACTGATGTATTGGTGTAAATAATAGGTTTACTGAGTTATACCTATAAAAAGGCATTAACATAAGTCTTGTTCTTGAGGAACTTGTGATCTTATCAGGAACATCATGAAATCATCAACTTATTTAATCTTTCAATAAATATTTAATGTGTCCTACTTAGAAGACATTGTGCTCAGCACTATGGAAAACACCAAAACCAGCATGTAAGTGAGCCAAGTTCAATGAAAGAAGCGCTAGAAGAGTTTCCAAAAGAAAGGTCTGAGCACTTAGCAGAGACCTTTGGAAGGAGGTGGTAACTCAGCCTTGAAGTGAGTCTAGGTGGGTGGAAAGAAGGGAGGGCTATTCTCTGGAGAAAGAACATAGGAGCTCAAAGTAAGCAGGTGTTTTGGGGACGCAGTGAGTGATGGATTTGCATAGAAATGACAATATAACCTGCCATTCAACAGTTGTTAAAGATAATGACAATTAATTTTGACTATTAATTCTCCTATTCCACAGATAAATACTCAGGCAATGAAGGAAAGAAAGAACAGAGAAGTCACAACAAACAAATGCCTGGAACAAGTCTCATACTTAATATATTTGTGGCATCGTTTCAGTCGCATTTCTTAGAAACAAAATAACCTTTGTTCACATCATATTTCAAGTAACAAAATAAATATTTATTATGTAGATGGAACATTAACTCTAACTGTGACATTTAAAGGATCACAAATCATTATTTTTTTAATTACCGGAGGGTGTCTTAACTTATTTTTGTAAACTTTTATTGCTTAATGTAGGTCTATAATGTGGGAGAAGTAATAGCCCTCAAATGTCTGGGAAGACTTTGTAGCTTTGATGCCTCAGCCACTAGCTTTGTGACAGTAACTCTCAGCTGGAACTACATAAGCCTTACTCCAGGGGAAGATTCTAAAAGTGAAGTGGCAGGAGGGCTTTTTCCCTTGAAAAAGAAGGTTGAACTGAATAGCATGTAAACCTCTGTTTAAAAGGCAGGTATTTCTTCTACATGTGCTGACACTTCTCGTGTTCTCATACTCAAAATTGACAAGAGAAGAAAATAAAAGCAAAAGGGGCTGCACAAAAAATTGTACCTAGAGTGAAGCCATTTGAAAGAACTTCCAAGCAAAATATTGTGAAAATACTGAATTTTAAGTGATCTGACAGACAAGAGTGGTATATGCAAGCAGATCCTGAAGAACTGCCTTTGTTAAAGCTAAAATATATATATTTTTAAACCTATGGACTATATTTTAATTTATTTTGTAAGCATTTTTAAGAAGTATATATTCTTCTATAATTGACACTATCTGTATTTCTTAATAAAACAATTTTCAAATTGGTTTCTTGTGAATTTTTTTAGTGTAGTTTGATAATTCCATACACACTTTCTTGAGGGGCACCACTTTCATCACTTCTTTTTTTCGGGGGACGTAGTCTTAATTTCTATTTTTTTAATTAAAAAATTGTATTGAGGTGTAATTGGCATACAGCATTATATTACTTTCAAGCATATAATATACTGATTTGATAATTGTATATATTGGAAATTGTAAGATAAATTCTGACTGAAATAAGCAGGTGAAGAGAGGCAACAAAGGGCCAGGTAGTTTATTTGAATGCAATTCCTGGGCGAGGTTTCTCAGTCTACAGAAATGGAGGCTGGGAAAGTCGCACCCAGAAGGGCAGGCAGCAAGTTTTTAAAGAAGGTAGGGGAAGGGAGAGCTTAAATTTACAGCGGTGTGAGGATTGGCTAGCCTAAGGCACATTTTCAGGTTGGGAGGGGGCAGCAGCCAGGGACTTTGGCACATCATCAGTGTCTGACGTGCTCACTCCTCCCCCTCAGTGCCTTCAACCTTACATTCCAGCCTTTTGGTCATAATGGGCAACGACTTGATCTGGCTATTTCTGGCTGACAAGGGGCATCGTGGCAGTGGGGGCGGGGGGCAGTTTCATACCATGTAGTTACATTGCTCCGACTGCAAATATCTTGCCTTGCCTTTTCCAGAGGCTCTCACTTTAATCTGTCTAAGCTTATGGTCTCTGCTTCATTATCTCTTCTACAGATAGAGACTCTAGCTGCTTCTAGGGAAAAGGGGCGATGACCACTCCAGCTGCTTCATGCTGAGAAGGGGTGCAGTAAAGGGTGCAGCTAGGTTTCTATCACTGGTCAGTTGAGAGGGCCTCAGAAGGTTGGCGCTTTTATTCTGAATGGACAAACTTGATGAGATTAAGAATGCATGGCTGAATGTGAGAACTAGAAATATGAAGAATCTAATTGAGAATCATAGCCAGGTATTATGGGGAAACTGAAGTTCTGGATCGAGTTTACATCTCAATGACTAGTATTAGGATTTAGTATACATAAGACTGCATTATTGAAACAATGCTTTTCTCTAAAATCACCCTTATTTTTATTAGAAGTAGCCAGATTAAGAAAATAATTAACAGTTGGCTTGATTATTTGCATAAGTGCAGCAAGAAGAGCAATTGATTACATAGGCTCTTTTAAATATGCTTTGCTGGAACTTCTTGTAAGGAATTTCAGATTGAACTTTTAAAGGCCTCTTGAGGCCAGACAGCCAAGCCAGACTTGCCATCAGACTTCGCCTGCAGTACCTGTAGATTTGGGTGAATTCCTCTCTTCTTGAGGTCTCTAAGAGATCTTGAGGTTTCTGCACCTGCCAGGAAGTGACCTTCCTTACCTGGTAAGGCTGCTGGGAACTCTGTAAGCAAGGTACCAGGCCAGTTCTTCCAAGGGGCTTTCTTGGCTTTATAAAGTCAACCTTAGTTCCTTAAAGCTGTTTATATCTGAGTTTATGCATGTGTCTCTCAGGTATGATGTTCCAGTCAAAGCCTTGGTAATATAACTAGTGTTTTTAATTGGTCTTCTTACAAGGAAAGTAGATTCTTATTGAACTTGTGCAAATAAACATACTGCCATGAAATATAAAAATAGTCACTGAGAGTTTTTAAATTCTGGAGGTATCAGGTAGAGAGAAAGATTAAGTTTCAATCTGCTCATAAAGGTATTGTCATTGACAGAACTATTGTCAGTTTAAGAGAAAAAGCTTAAAACACTTTATCAGCAACATTTGAAACAAAAAGTCACAAAATTATCTTCCTTAGTTTACCTAATCTTATGTAACTAATACTAGTTCTGCTGAAATCTAGTTCTTTACTAGTTTAGGAGTAATAAACAGTGACTACAAATGATAAAAGACTTAGAAATGACAATGGTTAAAGATCTGATGAGAGCTTACTGTAGGACAGTTGACATAAGGAAATTCTGATATTTCTGTAACAAAATATTCAGTAACGAAGTTTAGCATTATTCTTTTTGACAGTGCTTTTCAGGTAATTAAGCAGGTAATTATATATCAGATAAAAATAAGCTAAATTAGCTAAATACTTTCTCCAATGAGAAAAAGTTCTTTTGACATGTTTTAGGGGCCCTTTGGAAAATATCAGTTAACTTGAGGTAAAAGCACCTTTTCGCATTTGATTTTAGGAAGTTGTCAGAAGAAAGTTTCTTTGGCACTTGCTTAAATAGGATTATAGGTTGCCATGAAGCAATACTTATCTATTTAACCAGAATGACAGCAAAATACCTCAAAGGCAAATGAGGAAGGTTACACAGTTGTTAGCATAGTTTAGCTTTTAGTCCTTTTAATATTAAGATCTCATTTTTTTAAATACTCTTGACAACTCACTGAGACTTTAAGCATGAGAAACTGCTTTGATAAAACAATTAGAGAACCCTTTGCAATCTTTCAACATGAAGAGCAAACTAACAGTTAAGAAAACTTCGTCTTTTTAACTGAAAACAAAATTCTAATTTGCTGTGTACTTGATATTGATACTTATTTGCTTTAATTTTATATAGCATGACCATATTAAATTTTTCTACAAACTTTCTACAACTTTCTTCTTACATTTAGAGTTCTCTTTCTAAATAAACAGCTGTACTTTAGAACAGTTACTTTCTTTTACCAAGACACATTCTTTAGTATGCAGAAATGTTTTCTTTATTACTTTAAGTAGTTTTAATTAGAACTTAAAACCATTAGGTACTTTAATATTTAGTGAATACTGAGAAGTAGGCTATTATAAATTGTTACACTAGTATTCTTTGGATTGACAAATTTATGAACATTTTATAATTTCTGTTAACTATGAGCTTTACAACACAATCTCTCACTAAGCACAAAGTATATCTTTTTAACTTAGCAAAGCTTTAAGGTTTTAGGTTACCACAAAGATTTCCAGGCTGTAGATAGGTATACACACTGTAACACACAATTACTAAGGTGTTTATTTAGTTCACTTATTTAGTTCACTTATTCTTAACTATGTGAGGTTATTTACAAAACTTTTACTGGATATTAGACAAAGCTAAGCCTTTAAGCATTTTATTCTTAAAAGATTTAGCAGATAACATCAACTTAAATGACCTTAGGTAAACTTAGGCAGCTAATAACCACAAGGACATGCCTGCCTCAGCCAAACCCAAATTAGCATTAATGCTTAACATTTTTTATCAGATATTCTGGAAGTTTTAGAATACCCAATTTTCACAAGCGCTTGTTTTTAAATCAATTTTTATTAATACCATCTGGAATTAGGAAAATATTTTTCATCTACACACTTAGACACACAAACATACAAACTTGAGACATAATGACTACAGTTAGTAATACTTTTCATAGAAGAACATATACACAGACAGATACACTGATACAGTGATTTGAATAACTTATATCTAATTGCTTTCTCCTTTCTCAGCTTCCTGTCCATGGCTTCTGGAACCAGAGGGCAGGAGGAGTGTGTTCTGGTGGGGGAAGAGGGTGGTGAAGGCGGAAGGAGAGGGGAGGGGGTGGTGCAGCCACTGGAAGAGGAGAGCAGGACAACAGCATGGTTGAGAATGTAGGACTTTAAGATGGTGGCAACATGTGAAGACAAAGGACTTAAAGATGGTGGTGAAGAGAGGGGGAGGGGGTTGTGAGCTGAGGGAGGCGGGTGACTGAGGCCTTCTGGCAGATCTGAAAAGGAAGAAGGACTGGGCAGAGTAAGAGGCTGACAATCTTTAACTGGAGATCGGGCCAGGAGAACCTGAGTCGTTGAACACAACATAAAGGTCTGGGTGGTTGCGCAATATCCAAAAAGCCTGCACATATGGGATTTCACCCTACTCTCTGCTCTGGTGGCAATAATTAGTTAAGTTGGTGAGGAGGCTAAAATCGAAACTTCCCTCAGGGGGCCAGAGACATTGATTGTCCAAGGGATACTGAGGCCTGGCCTTGGAGCAAAGAAAGACTAGCTTCTATTTGCGAACTTCCCGGGACAAATATAGAGTAGCCAGATTAGAAATGAGACACCGCAACAGGGTCTGAGCCTCTGCTTTCGAGGCCTGGTTCCCCATGTGTGCGCCACTTCCCAACTAATTCCACTGAGAGGAGCACCCAGCGTCCCAAGTATGCCGTCAGGGGAGACGGCCTGGGGCCTGGGGTAGGGACGTCTCCCGTACTGCAGGGCCAGGGGCGGGCCGGGTGCCCGCAGAGGGTGGGCTGAATGCCCAGGGGCCAGATGCCCCCACCTGGATGTAGCTAAGATTTCTAACAGACCAGGTGAAATGGAGTTAGGAAGGGAAGCAGACCAGGGGAAACTGAGGGACTCACCGGAAAATAGTCCATGCAGTGGAGAGTAGGCTGAGGTTCCGGGTCTGGGAAGGAGGGGACAGGGCCACCGGTGGCTGGTCGGGGCCCCACGCTCATGCTCCTTCCTGGGATTTCAGCACCAAATGTAAGATAAATTCTAGCCGAAATAAGCAGACGACGAGAGGCAACAAAGGGCCAGGTAGTTTATTTGAATGCAATTCCTAGGCGAGGTTTCTCAGTCTACAGAAATGGAGGCTGGGAAAGTCGTGCCCAGGCAGCAAGTTTTTAAAGAAGGTAGGGGGAGGGAGAGCTTAGATTTACAGCGCTGCGAGGATTGGCTAGCCTAAGGCACATTTTTCAGGTTGGGAGGGGCAGCAGCCGGGGACTTTGGCAGTCATCAGTGTCTGATGTGCTCACCCCTCCCCCTCAGTGCCTTCAACCTTACAGAAATGATCACCCCAAAAGTTTAGTTAACATCTGTCACCATACTTAGTTGCATAATTCTCTTTTCTTATGATGAGAACATTTAAGATTTACTCTTCTTCAGTTCTTTACCTCCCCTCTGCTGGAGCCCGTTGACCACTCCCCTCTTGCTTTGTGACTTGGCCTCTAGGGAGAATACCTGGGGAGAGAGTTCTTGGCTTCAGGATGCATTCCAGTCATCCTCTTAAATTCTGTCTCAAGTT